CCCCCCCCCCATGCCTTCTCAGGAGTGCGCGGTGGCAGGAGCCACCCCACCCCATGCCCCCTGGACAAGCCACAGCTCTACCCTGCGCCCCAGCCTGCCCCACCCCAGCTGTGCAGTGCCTGCCCTAGCCCCATTCTCTTCCACACCATGGGGGCCTCGATCTGCCCCACTCCCCCATGCCCCTTCCCTTTCCCCACAACAGACTTACCAACTGGACACAGCTCTCCACGCTGCCGGGCTGTCCTCCTTGCCACCTACGTGCTGAGCTGTGGCTGCACGCATACATAGGGCACTTATTGCCCAAATTATGAGTCACATCAGACAAAAAAGCTGATTTCCAATACAGTCAATTTTCTTTATAAATCGGTGCCAATTTGATCTCAAACCAATATATCGGTGCACCTCTAATATAGACCAAAACTCCAAGTAGCTGTCTAGCAAACCTGAGAAATAGGAACTCACCTAAAGCAAACTACTGATGTTGAATAAGCCCCAGAAGAATCTCTCTTAATTTTAGGTAAAGGGTAGTTTATTTATGAAATAGAGAGTCTGTCTCAACTGACAGCTTGCCACTTCAACTTGTTAAGCAGTATAATCAGTACATCTCAGGCTGTCAAAGATAGCCTGTGGGTTAGACCCAGCCCACTGCCCTATCATCCAGCCCTGGCACAGCTTGTGGGTCTCTGATCTGACCTGAGCAGTGCCAGCAGCACTCAGGGCTGATTTAAGGTGTATGCAGCCCATGGCACAGCACCATACCAGCCCTGTATCCAGCATGAAGGGCCAATCAACAAACCTGAACCACGCTGCAGGACCTAATGAGTTTGACACCTTTGGTATAGCTGGTTTACAAGTGGCTTTGTCCTGGACAAATTATCAGCTCTAGAAAGCCACATGAGCCTGTGGCAGAATACTTAAACCTCTCTGGACATTCTGTCACGAACCTCAGCATAGCTGTTTTTGAGCAACGAACGTTAAATACTATCTTGATCACAGAATTGCAGAACAAGTCGTCAGCCAGAGACTAGATTGTGTTAAATATGGTTTACACTATGGGTTAAGAATCTGTAGTCCCTATTACCTGGATTAGTTTCTGTGATGCCTTTGTCCCTATGAGTTGATTACTTATTTGCCTCTTCCACCACTGCCCCGCCACCCTTTTCCTGTCTTTTGTATTCACACCACTATTTGATACACTACTCTGTACATATCTTCACGGCATCTGATAAAGTGAGATCTGGCTCACAAAAGTTTATTAATCTCTGATTTAGTCAGTCTATAAAGTGCATCTCTACCCAACTTTTGTTCTGGACAGACTGGCACAACCCACAGACCATCTGGTATGTGGTGTTCAATAACTACAGGAGAGCCATTAAGGTGTTTAAAAAAAACAACAACAACAAAAAACCAAAAAAGACAAAACAAAAAAGTGCACTTTACTGAAAGAGACAGCACATTACTTCAACCCGGCTCTGCAGCATCTATATAGATCAGGCACTTCAGTGGGACTTTTTGGCACTTTTATCTAATAGCTGATTCAATTGACGCTGCCTCTTCTGGGTATACGGTAGGGTCAGCGCAGGAGCACAAGAGTTTAAAGTAAAGCACCATTTGTTTGTTTTTTGTTCGTTTGTTTTTAATGTCTGCAAGCAGCCTTTGTGAATATACAGACTGGTATATATGGAATTCCAAACCATAACTACTAAAAATTTCAGATGCAACTTGAGTGCGACTAATTATGAAAAGGTGATGCATCATATTTCATTTTGATGTAATGACACCAGTTCAAAGTATAAAATTTGTCTCAGGTAGGGAATGGCTCTTTAAAAATGGAGAGAAATACCCAAACAAGGCTCATTAAAAATTTAGACAATGACAGGGAAAAAAAATTAAATGAGCTTCTACTGGTTGCTATTATGCTAATACAGCAGCTAGATGAACTCACAAAACTAACTGAAAGCCCAAAGTATTTCAAAAACAATAATCCAATATATTTGAAACAGAAGATTCCAAGAGCTGAGCAAGCATCTGAATGAAGCGGTGAGAAATATCTCCATTTAGTCTGGTAAATCTTTTCTGTAGTAGACTCTCTTATGAGCCAAGATTTTTCTGTACAGCCATTGAATAGCTTTAATCCACAGAGTTTAATCTTCATGCTATCAGATGTAGAGACTGCTGGTCCAGCTGCAACATTTGGCCTCAATTCTGCAAAACAGCGCCCAAGAGATTTGTAAGTGTAAGAGTAGATTGGATTGGCTAATACATCAGCTTAGAGCACCAACACTTACATTCTCTGGCTGGAACTACCTTAGTCTGACATACCTTTCTGAGAAACTTAGGCTGCTTGCAAACATTAAAAACCAAAAAAACACCCCAACTGGTGCCGCTTCCTGAGCCTGACGAATGGTTTTTGAACCCGAAAGCTTGCTTAATAACTATTCTCCAACCATTTGGGTTGGTCTAATAAAAGATATCAAATTCACCCAAGGAACCTTGTCTGCCTATATCCTTAGACCAACACGGCTACAACCTAAACCCCTGCAAAAAAACACCACACACTTTACCAGAAGCGGCAGCATGTTACTTTGACCCGGCTCTGCAGCTTCTGTATAGATTGGAAGCTTCAGCAGAGCTTTTTGGTGCTTTTAGCTAAAGCTGATTCAATCAGCTATTAGATAAAAGCACCAAAAAATACCCACTAAAGCACCAAATCTATAGACATCAGGCAAGCTGGGTCCAACTAACATGCTGCCTCTTCTGAACGTGTTGGACTCAGCGCAGGAGTGCGCGGAATTTAAAATAAAGCAACGTTTGGGGGGGGTTTGTTTTGTTTTTTTAACGTCTGAAAACAGCCTTAAGGCTTAGCAGATGGAGACAGAGAGTGGGTGTAGGGGGGAAAGGAAAAGGCACAGAACTGATACTTTATACAAGAAATCAAATGCATTTGTTATAGGCTTAGCGCTTATTCCTTGCTGTGAGCAGAACACTGGAAGTGGATCTGCTGAAGGGCCTCTCAACTTCTGGAATGCATGCAAAAGAATCTTTCTACTCCCACTCGCAAGTAAAAGTGGTCTTTCAGCTTAGCTGATTTGCAGGGTCTTTCTGGGTACCTAGCAGATGAAAGGTTACCAATTCAAGCCAATGAAGAATATACCACTTACATCAGGAAGCTATATACCTATGGAATAGGGATGATTTTTTTCTCCTTTCTGCATATACAGTTTATACCATATGTAAGGACTTCTGTAGCAATGCCCTGAATAGGAGACAGGAACACACATTCCCCAGGCTAGATGGATGGCCCTGAGAAAACCAATTCATATAAGCATGCCCAGGACCCTGAGGATCATTGAGCTTGAGCTTGGAGATGGTCAGGCTATGTTTGAATGTAAATAATATTTAGAGTCCTTGAGGGGAACAGTGAAAGAAACATAAAATTCCCCAATACATACATTGGGGACATTGATCTGTCCACTAAAGGTTACATTACAAGAAAAGCCCTTAGAAGTCCGTGTTGTGTCTGGCTACTAAATAGATCTCGGCCCACCTTGCACAGATATTCATGCAAGTGTAGGCTGCTATATGACCAAACTGATGCAGGCTCTCACTGGTATTTGAAGACTGCTATCATGCCCTCTTAAGCACCTTTTCTGCGAGCTGAACATGCCCATTTACTTCAACCTCTCCTCATATGGTTTGCCTTCCAAGCCCATACTGATAAAACCTCTTCTTGTTGTCTTTCACCTGGCAAGAGAGGCTCATTCTTTCTTTGCCTTCCTAATTTGGTCCCTGCAGGTTATTACTATTTCCT